AGAGTCAGGACAGAAGTAACAGGATCAGGATCAGGAAACCAGGGCCAAGCAAACAGTACAACAAGGCACAGACTGCAGGTCTGGCCATCCCTTAAATACACCACCTGCAATCAGCCCCAGGTGATGGCTAATTGCCGAAGTGAGCCTCTGGTTGCTGAGAGCACCCGCTGGCCAGTCCTGGTACTGCAACCCACAAGGCAGGTGAGTCCCACCACTATTGGCGAGTCCATTCCTACAGTGATATTTGGAGACAAGATTGGTGATGTAATTTGGGGCAGAGGCTTTATATGTTATTTGGTAATGTATTGAATTTTAATCTGTTGCGCAATGGGAAGCCAGTGGAGAAATTGGCAGAGAGGGATGGCAGATATGGAACAATAAGTAACGTGGATGAGTCTGGCAGCAGCATTTTTACCAGTTTGTCTTACTGCCCTCTACTTTATATTTAAATAGCTGTACTTGGAATGAAACCTCACTGTCTTGTTCACATGCATATCTCTCTGTATAATTTAATAAAATTCAATGTATCTCTGTTGTCCATAGCAAGGAGTGTGCAATACAAGTCTTGGGGTGCCTAGAGAGAGGCAGAGTGCTCCTTTAACACAGCTGCGCCATCAGAGGCAGGCCACGTACATGATGGTACCAGTCAGGATGAAGAAGGCTGAGTAAGTGAGCACAGGGTTATTTTGTCTGAGGATTCTTTGGCAGGTTATGAGTGCAAAACATGGAGATTCCAGAGTTCATCTCAGCGTAAGACAATGACAGTCTGGATATGCAGGGATGTGGTTAAAGTCCAGTTGAATTTTCACACCTTTGTTTATCTCTTTATAGGCAATTATACCCACATGAGTTGTGCTGGGAAAATCTTTTAAATGGTGTTCTTTGCTGGCAGAGCTGAGTAACAGCAACACCTTTTCTTTTCTATAGTGTTTATTCGATTTTTCATAAGAAAGAAGTTACAAACTGGTACAGAATACATATACATCCATTCCCCCCTCATACAAACTGCTGCCCTTTCGGGCAATGTGCAGAATAAGTTTCATAATACTTATCTGTTGATGGTGACCACAGGGGTCCCTTAGGGACCTGTAGATGGAAGATCTGCAACAACAAGATAACAGAAAAAAAACTAAATCTAATGTAAAACTGTTTATACGGGTCATGGTGGTCTGAGACAACAGACCTGACAAAGTGGGCAATCGCCCTCAAATGTTCAACAGGCAATAAGGGGATATGTCCCTCATGGCCCTTGGTTAGTGAGTGTTCAAAACCAGAGAAGGGATTTGAGAAAAAAAAAAAAAAGAGAAGGCGAAATGAAATAGAGAGAGGAGTGAGAATAGAGATAGGGGAAGTAAAGGAAAGAAACAAGGAAGATGTAAAGGACGTTTGGTGGAGAAGGATCCCGCTAGCAGTCGGGTGCGGGCAGCAAGACGATTAATGTTTATCGACACTCCCATGTCGACCATCATCCATCCTCGGATGATGCTGAAAGGTATTGCATCCAAGGATCCCAGGTTTTTTCAAAATATGCCATCCTGCCCTGAAGAACAGCGGTCAAACGTTTGTTGACCATTTTCCACGTTAGCTTAGTCTTCAGGAGATCAAGGGAGACCAAGGGGGACCACCAAGAGCATGCAATGGATAGCCTGGCAGCAATAAATATAAATGCGATCAGGCGTTTCACATATCTGGGTACCCCCTCCACTGGCTTCCCTAGGAGAGCAACAGCAACACCTTTTAACACATGCTTACACAGACTTGTATTGCAGAGAAAGGAAGGGGGTGTCTGCTACTGAGACTTGACTACTGAGAACATTGGGTGTAACTCTGGTGTCCAGTGGACTGCACAGTGATAGTCACCTAGAGCATTTAGAGGACTATTTATAAAACCTGTGTTGCATGAATGTCAAAAACATTCATGCAAGCTCAATTTGTTTTATTGTTTTCAAATAGATGAACTCCTTTATGAGCAGTTCCACCCAGTGGCTAAAATGGGATATATTTCCTCATTGAGATATTTCAGAAAACTATACTGCATTTTAGCCACTAGATGCAACTGATGATTCAGGAATTAATCTATTCCAAAACATATGGTGGAACTTCATTTAGCTTTCATGAGTGTTTCTGACATTTGTGCAACAAACGGTTCCATAAATTGACCCCTTAGTGTTACAGGCTTTGAAGGCTTTGAAAAATGGAGGCTGAAAATGGAGGCCTAAGTTTAGCATTAGGAGCAAAGGTTACTAGAAAGTAAACCAGTCTAACCAATGTTGCATGTCTGATATTTGTCTGATCTTTTATATACCAAAAAAAGTTTCCTGTTACTTTTACCTGCTGTGTGTGTTTCTTTATAAGTAGTTTCACACCAGGGACAGGTAGTGGCGTCCCTAGGGGGGTGCAGGCCGCATTGAGTGACACTATCACAGGGGGTGCAGGATGCCAGCAGAGCTTCTGGGATCTGTGAAGGTCCTGGCCAGTTATTGGCGTGATCCCGGATTCCAGGCACAGTGACAGCTGCCCCCGGTGTAGCGATAAATGAGTATCCTGCGAAGATATGTATCCCCTTAAACAGTTGCGCATGTGTCGGTTTCAGGTCGAAGAAGCTGATCGCCGATATCCAGCTTTAGCACAGAGCTACCACAGTTAACCCCTTACAGGCTGCAAACCGCTGAAGCTTATCCCGCGGATCACTATGGGTTGCAAGATCAGTTAACCCCGTATAGGTTGAACCTATACGGGGTTAACTGATCTTGCAACCCATAGTGATTCGCGGGATCAGCTTCAGTGGCTTGTAGCCTGTAAGGGGTTAACTGTGGTAGCTCTGTGCTAAAGTCAGAGTTTGGCACATGCAGAGTTGCTTCAGGGGATACATATCTTCGCAGGATACTCATTTTACCACTACATTGGCACCACTCCTTCCTCTCTGGAGGGGTGACACCAACCCTAGGGACGCCTCTGGGGACAGGCACCATCAACTACCATCACCTTTCCAATCATTTGGCAGTTAGGACCATCTCATTGCACAGGGTAATGATAGGTGGCAGTACTTAGCCTTGAAGTCAGGCTCCTAATATCAACCTGAAATTAGTTACAGAGACACACACACAGGAAAGTTTCTAATGTCGATAATAGTTGGTATCTTATGGTGTTGACTCTTGGGGTGTATATTCACATTTATAAGATTTAATGTGACTAACAGGTTCATTTTAATGCCATGCTTTCAAAGTACATTATAGTTCAATAATTGCAGGTAAAAAAAGGGCAGTTCCTCTTTGCAGCTTATTGTTCGCACTTTTGCTGCTGCTGGAAAGACACAACCCCGCATTATACTCAAGCCACTGTTTCTTTTATCTTGCTGTTTAATACTTTCTGTGATTGTGTTTACCAGGTTAAAACTTTTGGACCCAGAAAAAGTGAAGAACTTGACCCCCCTAGGAGCAGCTATGCCATTTGAGCCAGGTACTGAGATTTCGAGGAAAAATTCTCTTTGTATTCATATAACTTTTCATATTTTTTTTTTTTTTTTTTTTTGCAAAGTGACTTTCGTGTATAAGAATCAGGTAGTTTGTGAAGATTATCAAACCTTTTCTTATACAAGAGGCTATGCTGTTTCTGCTTTAATCTAAACTATTAGATCTCAGTACAATACCCATTGTTGGCTGTCACATGGATCAGCTTCAATTCTGTTCTAGAGCTGGGGCTGCCACTGCCCAAAGACCAGCAATGCTAGATAGTAATAATAATAGTGGGTGCAGTGGGACATTAGACTGCAAAGTGTCATGGATAGTAGAGTGTTGTCTGAACAGCACTGTGGAATATGTCATAGCTTTACAATTGTATGATAATAGTGCATGACTGTGGTGGGAAATTAGAGTGTAAGCTCCTGTTTTGCATGCAAATGGCTCAGTGTTTCTTGTACAGCACTATGGAACATGTCAGAGCTTTATCATTGTATAATAATATAGTGTGTAAAAGTAGAGTGTAAAATCATTTAAAGCAGATACAGATGTAAATGGCTCACAATCCTTCATGAAGCACTGTGTATTATGTCAAATAAATGTAGAAAAATATTATATATATATATATATATATATATATATGTATGGGCAGCACATTGGCTAAATGTTTAGCATTTCCGCCTGGCAGTACTAGGGTCGTTGGTTCGAATCCCAGCCATGACACCCCCTGCCTGGAGTTTGCATGTTCTCCCTGTGCCTGCGTGGGTTTCCTCCGGGTACTCTGGTTTCCTTCCACACTCCAAAGACATGCTGGTAGGTTATTTGGATCCTGTCTAAATTGGCCCTAAGATGTGTATGTAAGTTGGGGACCATAGATTGTACGCCCCTTCTTGAGGGTTAGGGACTGATGTGTATGTACAATATATATGTGTAAAGCGCAGCGTAAATTGACAGCGCTATATAAGTACCTGAAATAAATAAATAGTATGACTGTCAAAATGACAAAGTGTAAGCTCCTCTGGTGCAGGGGTTTTATGTGAATGGTTCAGTACTCTCTATACAGCACTACAGAAAATGTCACGTGCTGTATAAATATATACTAGCATGACAGTTGTGAGATATGATGGCAGTGGAGAGAAACTGATGTGAACGGTTCGGTGTTCTCTGTACAACACTGTGGAATATACTATGGTGGGGACATTAGAATGTAAGGCCCTCTGGTGTAGATACTGATGTAAATTTGGTTTGTGCTATACAAACAACTGATTACTGGTGTGAAATGCAGTTATTGTTTAAATGTAAGTGTAGTCATTTTAATATTACTTCTGAATTATATCAGTGAATTGGAAGCATTTGCATGCTCTGAGTGCAATTTGTTTACAGCTCATGTATTCCCCTCTTTGCCTTTCAAAACACTTCTGCTTGGACCTTGAAAAAGGGGACATACCCCAAAAGTTTGTCCTGCAAATCGCAAGTCAGTGCAAATAAAAAAAGTATCACGGACAGTACTCAATTGTTTCTAAACACTTCTGTATGTTTGTAGAAACAAGAGAGAAGAGGCGGCACTCGTATCTTCACCAGGCACAAGCCAGCAGGCAGCAGTCTTTGAACTCCAGGAATGGAACAGTTCTCAGATTTCCAGTGAAACAGATGTCTCCCTCAAGGAAGAGCACTGGAATTCCTAGAAAACGGTGAGAGAGATTACTTTTTATGTAACAGAAGGTATTGTTCAGCTTGTGCTTTCTTTGTACGAAATGCAGGTTCAAGCCTAGTACACGCGATCAGAAAATCATACAAAAAAAAATACAGCTTTCAAAATGATCGTACAATAATCTGATCATTAGTACACAGCTTTCGTCTGAAATTATTTGAAGGGACAAGCATGAAAATGTTTCTCATATGATACCAGGTTGTGCGATTTTTGTTTAATCAGTAGTTTTTAATAAATCAATAATACAATGAAAATACATTATTTCACTTCTGAATTTTTATTCGGTCATACAAGAATTTTCATAACTTTAGTAACCTCTTCTCTTTCGATATATCTTTTCGATTGGTATGCAATAGAAAAAAAAACACTTGATCATTCGTCCAATATTCTCATTGTGTGTATGGGACTTCAGTCTGATTGACTTATCTCTTGGAGACTCACTTGGTGTCTCTACCACATTTCTTGACTCTGCCCTCTGCCCCCTGCCCCAACAAAGTGTCTCTCCTTCGAATTCATTTTGTTCGGCAATCAGGCAAGTGGCACTTGGATCTCAAATGTATGTACGGATTATGTATCCAATTATAGTAAAAAAAATAGTTACATGTATCTTTACATTGGGCATAAATATCTCTGTAAACCTCCTGTGACCCCCTGCACAGCAACATTATGAGCCAGCAGACGTTTGTTATTTACTGCTATTCCTTTATTGTCCAATCACAGGAGAGATGATCCTGCCTATTTATTGAAAACGGGGAGTAGAGCGCTTAAACTGAATTTGCCCAGATAGATGTATGGCTGACCTGTATTTGTGAGAGCATGCTCTCGGGCCATCAATCTGATCTTTGCACTACTACTTACTGTATGTATACACATGAACAATTACTGAAGCATAATATTCATTTTACTTCTCTTCAGGCAGGACAGTAAACCATCTACAAACCCGAACAAAACCTCTGAAGATCATGAAAGCCACCTGACTCATCAAATAGATGGTCTGGTCCTTAGTGAGAAAGATAGTTCAGAATCTAGCTCATGTAACACCGGTCAAGAGTCTCACAACCCTCAAACTTCACCCCAGCTTATTGTCAACCAGAAATTTGTAAGCAAACATGATGAGACAGCTTGGATTGATGGTTTTTCCATAGTAGAAACACAAAATATAGATCCAATAGAACTGCTGACCTTTCAAACTATATCTACCAGGAAGGAAGAACAAATTTTGGATATTGGCAATAAAGATGTCAAAGAAGAATTCGATATTGGAACCAAAAAAGGAGTAATCCAAGGACAGCTGTTAGAAGAAGAAACAGAGTCTTATTCAGAGCTACACCTTGGTAGTAAGGAGAACCATGAAACTGAAGGACTTCAGCCTAAAGTAGCATCTGACGTCCTTATCCAGTCTGAAGCAGATACTTTAAATAACCCACAAGGAGATGTAAGCACCAAAACACAGAGTCAAGAAGATGCCACATCAAGTCATGAACACTTGAAGAAAAGTCCCAGGGTCAAAACAAAAAGTAAAAATGTCACATTAGGTCACAATCAACTGAAAGTAAGTCCTAGAGCTATTGATTCAGACACTACAGATGAGAGGTGTGTGTCATTACCAGCAAAACAGGACCCAATAACACTAAAAACCACCATGGACTTCAGCCAAACCTCAAGCCCAGCCGAGGAAAACATAGCAGACACAGGAGCATCTAGCAGCGAAGGGGACACCAAGTCACAGATTTCTTCATGGAGGAATGATGTCATAAGGAGGAGTCAGGGAGTACTGGTACTGACAAGAAATACAGATGAAAATGCCATCTTCATCCCTAAACTTAAATTTGAGTTTACTCCTGACAACAGCATAGACTGGACTACATTACCTCAGCTGCTAACAAACAAACACAGCAATCACGTCAAAGAGAAAGACCCCAGTATTACAATGCCATGCACCCCTAGAGGACCGTCATTTAGCAAAAGTATCCTGAAGAAGTCCTCTGCTTCTCAAGGATTTATTCCAACTGCAAGGAGCAACTCTGAATCTATTCCAGGATCGTTTGGAGCAGAAAATTCTGCACAAGACAGTGTCCCTCCCCTCCATGGGATAGTGGACCTGTCCATTTCATTTCAAGGTAAATATGAGGGAGATGAAATACCAAAAGACATTCCCAAATTATTACTGATGGAGGAAGATAGCGATGAGGATTAGCAGACAGCTTCACATAACCTGTTGGGACAAAATAACTCCTGTGCACTTCCGGGGCAAGATTAACCCTTCCTGATATATAAAAAAAAAAAACTTTTGAAAAAGATTGAAGCATGGAAAAGATGGTGCCTATAGCAACCTGAATCTACTTCTTTTCCCAGTGCAAGAATGTGAACGGATTCAATTGTTTAGACAACAGCAATTTCTTGTTTTTATTAGCGAGCCATTTCACAATAACTGTGAATTCATCATTTTGAACAGACCAGTTCAGTGTTATAAATTACATAAATATGAATATTTCCCTTCTTTTACAAGCCTGCCTGAACAAATCTCTATAACTGTAAAAAAATTCCATTTGTACATTCTGTTCCTATGTTGATCTACAACAGGTTAGTATAGGTGTAAATGGCAAATCGTTCTGCCTTGGTACCAGAAACATGAGAGTGATCGATGTTATTTGAAACAAATTACTCGCCTTCCATCCCCCTGTATGTGAAGGAGTGTTAAAGTGGTTCTAAAGCCAAAACGTTTTTTACCTTAATGCATTCCCTGCATTGAGGTAAAAAACATTTAATGGCTTTCTGTCCTTTCCTCTTCACACAGGACTTGAGCAGCAGCAGGAGCCATGGGCAGTGAGGAGGAAGTGTGGGGCAGAGCTAAGCCCTGCTGTGTGCGTCTGTGGAGAACAGCTCCATAGACACACACAGCTTGGGAGCGAGTATGCACTGTGTTCCCATAGCAAGTGGATTGCTATGGGGGCACACGAAGAAGGAGGAGCCAAGATCTCTGGCAGGGGACCCTAGAAGAAGAGGTTCGGGGTCCGCTCTGTGTAATACCATCGCACACAGCGGGTGAATATAACCTGTTTATTATGAAAAAAAAAAACCCCACATACATATACCACTGCTCTGGAATCAGTGGGGGGGGAGATCCTGTATCCGAGACTTGTCACTTAGGTATTTTCCAGCCATGGTATCAGACTGCCAGACAAATATCACCTAAGCATGTTCCACGGGGACAGCATTATATCTTTACTGATAAGGAAACTTACATTGAACAAACATTCAGTGAGGAAGTATTATTTAAAAAAAACCAAAACACTCTTTATATAAACCCTTTTGTTTAAATAAGGCCTAAGCTACAATTGTATTCTCCTGCTATGGAGTGGTTTACCCAATTGCTGGCAGTCACTTTATAAGTGCATTGGCATAGTGCAGTTTAAACATAATCTGTTACAAAAGGAAAATGCTTCCTATAGATACAGCTATTTCTTGACAGTCAGCATGCTAGTTCATGATAGTTTCCGGGCAGTATGCTAGTTTTGGGGCTATTGACTTACAACCAGTTTGCAGCCTAAGAGTCAAGATGGCAGATTCCATCTGAGGCTTTTCATATGTATTTCCTCTAAAATCATATGCATACACTCAGATCGCAAAATAACTTAGATATGATAGCATTGTCAAATAATAGGGCAAAGTGAGCTAATAGATTGTGCTGTGGGCAGCTATACACAGGGTTTTGTTCTCGGACTGAATTTTCATTGCTACACAGTTTTATCAGTCTTGGCCTGCTCTTTTAGAGTCGCAGCCTCGAGTGCTACACTTAAGTCTGCATTTTGACACACATCACAACAAATCAGAGCATGCATTAAAAACTTGAACTAAAATTCATGGATTTAAACACTACAATGTGTTTTATCCTCAACACATTACCACTTTGAACTCTTGTGCTCAAAAGTTTGCATACCCTGGCAGAAATCCTGAAACTTTGGCATTTATATTGAAAATATGACTGATCATACCAAAAAATTGTCTTTAAGGTTAGTGATCATATGAAGCCATTTATTATCATAGTTGTTTGGCTCCTTTTTTAAATCAGAATGATAACAAATCACCCAAAAGACCCTGATCAAAAGTTTACATACTGGAATGTTTGGCCTTGGTACAGACACACAAGGTGTCACACACGGGTTGAAATGCCAATTAAAGCTTAATTTCCCATATCTGTGGCTTTTTAAATTGCAATAAGTGTCTGTGTATAAATGGTCAACGAGTTTGGCAGCCTCATTGCTGTATATCTGCAGTGTGAGATCTAAGGCACTGCTGCATCTGACTGTTAGCCTCAAGAAGTTTGGTGATGTCTATACTGTGCTGCTCATCACTGTTCTTGCTGGAACCTTTGACGGGACGAAGAAAAGCCCTGCCTCTACCAAGATGGCCGCTTCCACACACAGACAGTGCACAAGAAGGCTTGTAAAGTCCATAAAGACCACAGGCAATACTGGGGACTAGTCCTTTGCCTTCTGTCTGCCTTCTTTGGCACAGCTTCCAGAGTTCAGTAACTCTTTAAATTGGTTGCACTAGAGTGGTTGTAAAGGCTCAATGTTTTTTAACCTTCATGCATTTAATGCATGAAGGTAAAAAACCTGTGTACAGCAGTGCCCCCAGCACCCTCAATACTTTCCTGAGCCCCATTGAGATCCATCCATCAATGTGCCTGCATGACAGCCTCGGCTGTCCCGGGTCTCTGCCTCCTCATTGGCTGAGACAGCAAGCAGCAGCCATTGGCTCCCGCTGCTGTGAATCACAGCCAGTCAGCCAATGAGGGGGGGTTGGGCAAGCCGCGGTTTCATGTATGAATGGACACACGGAGCAGCAGGTGTCCCCATAGCAAGCTACTTGCTATGGGGGCACCCAACAGAAAGGAGGAGCCAGGAAAGACTGCAGGGGACCCGAGAAGAGGAGGATCCAGACTGATCTGTGCAGTTTGGTAAGTATAGACATGTTTGTTAAAAGAACCTTTAGTATCGCTTTAAAGCATTCCAAATAGCTTTTATGTGATGCAGTTTGATAAAGAAAGGTAAATATAAAGAAAGATACCAAATTACCAAGCATATGTACAGTTGTATTATCAAAACAAAATTTTATTTCTGTTTTGTAAAAAATAAAACACATTTCTACAAAAGGCAAAAATCAAATCCCAGGTGAGTGTGCGTAAATGTGAAGGATATGGTAAACGGACAATGCATATATTTAACACAACCACTGCAAACACTTCTCTGCCATCGTAAAATGTATATACACCCAAATTAAATCATTTCTATGGGACTACACTCTACCCCAGGGCTGCAAGGCTAAAAATATGAACAATCACCATTGTGCTAAGTGGATAACGTAAAGTGCTACTAAACCCAGGACCCTGCATTCACTATATCTGGTCTCCCACAGTACACAGAACTTGGAAATGCAATTATTTTAGTAAATATAAACTGCTAAATACCATTTCTCATCAGCAGTTAGAGCAGTCTTGTGACTTCTATTAATGCCCAGCGAAGTACTGGTTATAGCTTGTAGGAGGAGTTTTCATTCTCCTGTAGGAGGATGCAGGACCCATGACTTCTGTCTGGAGAGTGCGGATTGGCCCTGTGTTGATCACATGCACTCTTCCAAGAAAAAAAAAAAAAACAAAAAAAAACACACCAAACTGAGCATGTGCAATCCAATAAAAAAATTTAAAAATTACATTTCGTCATAAATACAGGCCAAAATGTATTCTGCTACATCTTTGCTAAAAAAATCCCAATATGTGTAAATTAATTGGTTTATGTGAAAGTTATAGCATTTACAAAAGGCGGTATGTATACTGGAATTTAAAATTTTTTTTTTACTAGTAATGGCGGCGATCATCGACTTATAGCTGTGGGACTGCGGCAGGAATTCTGACACTGGGGGGGAAATGACTTGCTGTCACCGATATCCACAGTGACAACAATACAGTGATCAGTGCTAATAAAAAGCACTGACACTGTACTAATGGCACTGGGCAGGAAGGGGTTAAAATAACACATTACCAATGGGTCTGTCATTGTCCAGTGGAAATGAGCAGAATGGCAATCCATCAATAGCCTTGGACATATACCCTTCTGTGCTCTGTACAAACCAATCAGGTTGAACCGCAGAGCCCCAGAAATCAATATGCAGCCTGTTAGTCATCAAAACACAAGCTTCCACCTGAGGTTTCTTGTACAGATACACCACAGACTCACATTAAGCAATGGCAGGCATTCTAAGGATCTACTAGAAGGCACAAGTACAGCCAGGGTTACCAGCAGCGGGGAAATGGCAGTTGTGCTTTTTTGGACTAATGCCGACACTATTCATTGTCTCAGATGATGGGAGGAGTGGGGACACTGTGCAGGGGTAAGTCCATGGTTGGTGTCTCTGGTTCGGGAGGTTGTGGACTTGCTTTCCTCTGCTGTAACTTCTCACACAGTTGGTTATAAAGATCCTTAACAGCTTCCCCGCTCTGTTTATTGATATAGAGAGAAGGATTAGTTCATCAATTTCAGTACCACATTGCAAAGAGAAATGACAAAAGCACAGTCCACAGCAAACTGACTTCAGATTATGCTTGTCCCAGGCCTGATATGAAAAAAGTACCATTTACATTAATAAATAAATAAAATAACCTATGCTTAGTGCAGAATAGTCAACTCTTAATATGTCCATTTACTTGATCCTGCCAGTTCATAGTTCTAATAAAGATTCCTGGTTTGAGGCAGACTACGCCATCTGGCCATCATTGAATTCTAGATTGTGTAGGAGTTGTTGGCCTTCCCTATCTTCGCTATAATTATGTACGCATAGACGCGACATGTTGGACGCTTCCACTAACATTAGTATTCTCAGTCAGGAGGAAGCTCTGACAGTGTCATGTATGGACTATCCAGTACACCTCCTCCAAGCCTCGCTTTGGGTTAGGAGAAAATATGTCAGAGTTCCTAAAGTACAGGCCCACCACCTGCAGAGGAAGGGACAGAGAACAAAGGAGATGAAGTCATGTGACTGCACATAAAGATTTAAAAAGGTATTTATTTGGAAACTGTTATTCGTGCCATTAGGCTGGTTTTTTTTTTTTTTCAAGTTTAGTTGTTCCAACTACTTTAACCCCTTCGCGCCAGCGCCTCCCGGCCTTTTAAGGGTTTCAGAAATCGGGAGGTGGGGCAGGGTTTAGGGTCATGTCACCGCTGTAACACGCTGGTCACATGATCGGGAAAGGTCCCGATCGAAAGAGAAGATCGGGACCTTTCCGTGGGTACCGGATATGTGTGCTGGGAGTGCGCACGGCGCGCGCTCTCAGCACGTCTTTTTTTTAATACAACGCAAATGTGCAGCCGCTCGGCGTCTACGCCCAGACGCCGGGAGGCCACACATTTGCGTTCGGCCGGCGTGAAGAGGTTAAATACAGTTTGGGTCTGCTTAGATTAAGTTCAATGCAGTCTGACTGTGGAAACCAATCTACCTTAAAGTGATATTAACCACTTGCCCTCCTGAGAATTTACCCCCTTTCTTGGCCAGGCCATTTTTTGCGTTACGGCGCTGCGCTACTTTAACTGACAATTGTGCGGTCATGCAACACTGCGCCCAAATAAAATACGTCCTTTTTTCCCCCACGAATTGAGCTTTCTTTTGGTGGTATTTGATCACCTGTGTGGTTTTAATTTTTTGCGCTATAAAAAAAAAGACTGACAATTTTGAGAAAAAAAAAACAATATTTTTGGCTTTTGCTATTAAACATGTCCATTGAAAAAAATTTAAAAAATCTAATTTAGGCCAAAATGTATTCTGCGACATGTCTTTGATAAGAAAAAATCCCAATACGTGTAAATTAATTGGCTTATGTGAAAGTTATAGCGTCTACAAATGGTGGTATATATACTGGGATTTTTTTTTCTACTAGTAATGGCATCGATCAGCGACTTATAGCAGGACTGCCGCGGAATTCTGACACTGGGTGGAACTGACTTGGTGTCACTGACATCCCCAGTGACACCAATACAGTGATTAGTGCTAAAAAAAACTGTAGGCAAGAAGGGGTTAACATGAAGGGTGATCAAAGGGTTAACTGTGTGCAGAGAATGTTTTACTAGGGGGCTGAATCTGTGTGCTTCACTGTAATCACACTGCTCTGGATGGGTGTGCTGTGTACAGCCATCCAAAGCAGTGTGCCGAGCTGACAGGGAGGAGAACTGTTAGTAAACAAAACAGTCCTCCTCCCCGTTGGAGATGCTCGGTATTCACCAGCCAGGACTGGGTGATTGACAGCTGCGGCCACGAATGGCGGCGCGGGTAGGACTCGTGTGCGCCCCCTACCTGTGTATATGTATGTATGTGTGTGTATATATATATACACACACACACACACACACACACACATACATACATACATATACACACACGCACGTGATTTTGCGCACCCCTGCTGCCCTGTAGCAGTATATCTGCTATAGGGCAGCGGGAAAGCGGCTAAAGGCAATAAAAAAATTAAATAAACATGTTATCACTTGCTTGCTCTCTGCAGTGGTTTTGCACAGAGCAGCCCCAATCCTCCTCTTCTTGGGTCCCCCGCACTCCTGGCGCCTCCCTCCTGCAGAGTGCCCACAGAGCAAGCAGCTTGCTATGGTGGCACCCAAGCAGGCTCACTCTCGAACCACTGCTCTGTGTGTCCACTCACACAAAGTGGCCCCGCGCCCCTGATCTCTCCTCATTGGCTGTGACTGACAGGCGCAAGGTAAGGAGGGAGAGTCGCTCCTCTCATGCACATTGCTGGATCACGATGGGACTCAAGTAAATATTAGGGGGGCTGCTGCAGAAAGCATGAAGGTAAAAAACCTTGAGCCTTTACAAACACTTTAAATGAGTATTTTCTTTTTAAAGAAATAAACATGTTATACTTACCTGCTCTGTGTAATAGTGTCGCACAGAGCAGCCCTGGTCCACTTCTTTTTTGGCTCCCCTGCCACCGCTCCTGGCTCCTCACCCCTGCCAAGTGCCCCCATAGCTCTTGCTATGGGGGTACTCAAGCAGCTCAACTCCAAGCCATGCTCTGTGTGTCCATTCACACATGGAGCATGGCTAGGCCCTGCTCCCCACTCTCTCCTCATTGGCTCACTGGTTGTGATTGACATCAGCAGAAATCAATGGCTCCCATTGCTGCGTGAACCAATGAAGGGAGAGAGACCCCGGAGAGCCGCTGCTTTTATACACATCACTGGATTGAAATGGGGCTCAGGTACCTATAAGGAGGGAGGAGCTGGGGGGAGCTGCACCCAGAAGGTTTTTTCCCTTCATGCATAGAGTGCATTAATATAAAAACCCTTGAGCCTTTAGAACCAATTTAAGTTGGTTCCAATGGTCAGGCTGTGTTGCTTCAAAAAAGATTGGCAGCTTCAAGAAGCAGTAACCTCAAGACTGTGTAACAGAATGACGCAAACAGCTGCAACAGAAGGGTTACCAAAGAGGAAGATTGGCAGCTAAGGATCATTTCCCAATCCTAGCCGAAAATGACAAAAGCCTTTCACTACACACAATGAAGGGAGAAAAAAAATCATCTTTATCCCCCAATGAACTACACAATCCATGCCTTCTCCGCCTGTGGCCAAGTAAGTGCTTTTAGTTCCTCGCCTTCTCTTGTAAGGACACGTCACACCTGACCACAGAACACCCAATAGTAGAAGATTACACAATCCCTTCCTCTACTCACAGTCTTGGCTGGCTCCAGGGCTTTCTGTAAAGACTCCACTTTGGATGGCGCCACTTTGTGGTGAAGGTGAAGTACTAAGCGAAGTACATGTCGGTGAATGTTCTCCTTCCTGCAAAAGATTCAAGGTAGTTTATTTATTCTTTTAAGTGACTTTATTGTGTACTACAAGAAGCACAAAGGAACACTGCCTTTCTGCTTAAATGTGTGAGATATTACTGTAGCACTTAAAAAAATGATTCATTTTAAAATAGAAATGAAAGGTGAAACATTTCTGTATACATGTAAAAAAGAACAAGTGTCCCCATTCCCTCTGTTCTTAGCTGCATAAGAGCGGGGGGGAGGAAAAACAACAGTACACTGATCTTCCCAGTGAAAGGCTGTGGGGAGGTCAGGATAAGTCTGATCACTGGATGAGAGCCAAGTTCTCAACATAGCTACAGTGAACTGACCAAGCTGTGTTCTCATGCTTCGTGTAGTCTGTTTTTAATAGGAAAGCAGAGGGACTGGCAGGAACACCAGGGATTTCACACAAAGGAAGCAATACAAAGAGAACAAGATACTTTTTCATACAAGTACATGGTACAGCAGGCACATACCAGGAATAAGAAATGTTGGGTTTACATATTCTTTAACAGAAAGTATTTTAGATGCCCATCACATTTTTACCTGTTTTTTGTTTTCTAATCATACAATTGAATTGCAAATCTCTGTATAAAATACAAATTTTCTGCCTGTAAATCAGAGTACACCAAGAAACTCCGGTAGACGATTGCCGAAATAAAACCAATTACCCACACAGAAAGACCTTTTCCTTTTTTAAAATACAAATAAACGAACAATGACAAAAAAAGACCAGTACAACACAGCCAGTCACAGGGAGGGAGCAGAAGCTGCATAAATATAATAAGCAAACATCCTCTGTGTACATAAAGTATTACAAGTCCCACACAGATACAAGATTGTTACATAGTGAGAGGATTAGGTGCATCAGGGTGATCTCATTCACATGTACTTGCATCTAACACACTTTTAAAATGGCTGTGAAGCTCGGACATGAAATATGATGAAAGCATAGCATATCCCTCTATAGTGTGTACTTGTCTGCATCCAGAGCACTAAGTGTCATTCCTGTGTGCTGCCTAGCTCATTTGCTATCAGCATGAGTCACTTCAGACAAGTTTTCCTGACATCAAGAGAAAAAAGGTGAAAGGAAGATGGACCTCCAGCACACAGCCTGTGATTGACAGCGTCAACTCTGTTCCTGTACCTGTTCCCTCTAATAAGCTTTCAGAGCTCTCTTCACTGAGCTCTGCATGTTGAGTCCTCATGCACACTGGATGCTTTTACAGCGGCTGTTTTTGGCTTTTGATATTTTTTTCTATAGCCAGTAAACTCCCCAGCATGTTATCCTAAATGTCCATGCACACATAGACTGTAATCAACGTTCTTTGGCTGGAAAAAACCCCAGAACTAGTGGGTTTCTAGAGGAGTTTTTTAGCTGTAAAAATGTCATAATAAGCCCGAAAAACGCAGTAAATCGTGGCAAACCAGCGTTTATGACTTTTTTTGACCCCCATAATTTTTTTTTTTGGTGAAAAAAAAAACCTCTAAAAAACAAACACTGCAAAACGCATCTAAACACTAATACAAAAATTCTAAAAAACGCTGAAAAATGCACGTTTTTAACATGACTTTACACAGCGAACGTTACCAGCGTTATCAAAACGCCCCGTGTGCATGGAGCCTCAAACTTCAGCCCTCTGTCACCTGCTTTCTGAAAGCTCAAACAAGGTGTATAAATTCAGAACTTCGAATGGCTGTAAAGGAGAGAGCGCTCCAGATAAACTGACACAACTTATGTAGGAGGTTTTTTTTCACCTCTGTGTATCACCTGAGGCCAGTCGCTTCACTGGGTATATGTGAGGGTTTACAACCACTTTAATAAAGGCTTTAAATAGGATTTAAGCGATTTCTGAATTAGTGCCATAAGTTACCTCTCTGTGATTATTGTGTACCTATATGCAAAATATTATCATTATCATCAGAGGGACATTATTCACCTGACCTTCACTGGAGACACAACAAGAGAAGTTGCCGGCTTAGCGTGACGCAACTAGAAAACTATTAGACAACTTGACAAATAAAGATAAAAGTCACATGGAATCTTGGAGCACAAGCATGGAGAGCCCTGCCAGCTATTACGTCATTTGCTTACAGGTGAATAGAGTGTCTCCTGAGTCAAGGAGAAATTGTGGAAGGTTATTGGCTTAATGCATATTAAATTTGGAGGACTTCAAATATTATGAAGACTTTACCATTGCAATGGCAGCTCAAGAATATGCCATGTTTGCTAACCTGTTATGTAGTTAGAATGTAATTTAGTCATAAAAATATTATATTATTATTAGACAAGACATGAATGAGGTAAAAGAGCAGAATAGACACACAAACCATTCATCTGAGCTGACATGAATATGTGAATGAATAAGCAAAGTTTGTTCATTATCTGCCATGGTAGGTTTTACCAGAACCACAATTCAAAATGCGAGCCAAACCTCACCCATACGCCATAGTATATACATTATATCAAAGTGGGTATAAAGGCAAAAGGTTTTTGTCTTAATGCATTCTCTACATTAAAGATAAAAAAACCTTTCAAAAGCTGCTCCCCCCAGCCCTCCTTTTATACTTCTACTTACCTGAGCCCGATCTCGATCCAGCGCTGTGCTTATCTGCCTCTGACTCCTTGACTCCTGCTGCTATCAGTCAAAAAAAAAAAAAAAAAAAAAAAGGAGGGAGAGGGGCCAAGCCACGTTGTGTGGTTCTATGGACACGAGTGCACCCATAGCAAGCTGCTTGCTATGGGGGCACTTAGAGAAGAGGAGCATCGCTGGCAGGGGACCCCAGAAGAGGAGATTTGGGGCCACTGTGTGCAAAACTATTGCACAGAGCAGGTCAGTAGCTTTACAACAGGTTTAATGTTCTGGAACCACATTTGTATATTAAAGTCACAACATCAGGGCTATAATATACCCATATGGAAGAAAAATATTCTTCCCATATATATTGACATATATTTGAAATACTACAATTTTGACCATATTCAACACACACACACACACACACACACACACACACACACACACACACACTTGCACACATGAAATGCGTTATTACAAAATATATGAAAAATACATTTTAAATATACTGCATGTGTTTAAAAATACAAATCTACATTATTGGAATGCATTTACAAATATATGCAAAAATATATGTTAACATTACTTTTTTATATATGTTAAAGAAAAAAATCTGAAGAATATATTTAAAAAATATATATTTTTAAAAAGATATATTTTTTAAATATATTCTTCAGATTTTTTTTTAACATATAAAAAAGTCATTTTAACATATTTTTACATATATTTGTAAATACAGTCCAAAAATGTAGATTTGTATTTTTAAAGACATACAGTATATTTGAAATGTATTTTTAAAAATATTTTTTATATATTTTGTAATAAAAATGCATTTCAATATGCAATATATATATATATATATATAAATATATTGAATATGGTCAAAATTGTAGTATTTTAAATATATGTCAATATATTTGGATATTTGGGTAGGATATTTTAAAAATATATTTCCAATATATTTTTCTTCCATGTGGGTATTATTGACAGAATATGTATGTCCCACTGTCAATGATGCCACAGTAAAGGTTCACCCACATCAATGCCACAGAAAATATCAGTAATTTCCAAAACTGGGCAGACTCAAAAAAATAAACAAGTCTAACAGAATCACTCAATTCAAATCAATCCAATTCAATCTTAAAAAAAAATAAAATAAATAAATAAGTTTGATTGGCTTTACTGCCGGGGTCATCTACAGTATTTATGATGAAAGTATTATTTTGTAGCTGGAAATTAAAATTTGATGCAGTGGAATTCTGAAATGTTTGATCTCATAATCGGCGTAAATGTTAACTTGAACAACTGTTATGCGATGTGTTCAACCTGCAAGATAATTATCATGTTAAAATGAGCAAGAGTGCTCTCAGTTATCAGTTAACATCAGAAAAACAAGGTTTAGGGTTCCTAAAAATTTGGAATTAACATATTTTACCTTGACACCTATGAGTATAAATGATATAGACACAATGTCTGTCACTCAGCATTATCGAAGGTGAAGTCATAAGGTAATAGCCTCAGATCATGAACTCCCAGAATTTCCCTGGGTCTCTGTAAGCCTCAAATTACCCCAGAAACAATCAATACTTTTGGCCCCAACCGTAAAGCTCACATTCATCAGTTATTTTGCACATACACAACGATTTACTTTTTACTATAAAATATTCTTACTTTGTGCAAGCTGTGAGAAAAAATCCATCAAAAATCTGGTTGCAAAATTCTTCTGAACTGAATTCCTCGGCAAGAAGTGTTAGATTGCTGGTGAACAGATGCAGGAAGATGTCTGTGAAAGCTGTGTCACTAAATGTCTCCTCTGCAAAGAAAAAAAAAAAAAACTATTTCTTCAGTAAACAATGGCTAAAGCAGGAAATTGTGAGGTGACTTGTGTAACTATACTGAACTTTAAAGGAAATCAACAGCCAAAACATTAAGGGGTTTGTTTCTAAAACATTCATTGGCCAAATGTCAGAAGTATTCATGCAAGCCAGCCAAAATATCTTTTTTTTTTTCCTATAGCATCAGCACCATTCAGTGACCTAAAATGTGGTACAGCATTCTGAAATACCTCAGCGAGAAAATATAATACATGCTGGCCATGAGATGTTGCTGACAACATAGGAATTAATGTATTAGAAAAATTACAGGGAAAATTTGTACAGCTTGCCGATTAGTTTTGGATAGAGTGGGGAATGGTTAAAACCCATGAGTGCCAGTTCACATATATGCAGATTGGATGTGGTTTGAATCACATCCAATCCGCATGACAAGTAAAAAAAACATTGCTTCCTCTAGTGCCTGTTCATATATGTCCAGTGCACTGGCGGTGCGTATTTAGTGTGGTTTGAAAAAAAGAGTCATGTACGATGTCTGAGCAGTATGGTCCGGTTCAGGTGCGGAGTACAGCCTACTGACTTCTATGGGAACTGTTTCTAAACCACATATGTGTGAACAGGATAATCCTGAAAGCTAATCCTGCCCTGAACCTGATGTAAACCTGACATGAACCGGTGAACAAATACTGTATCAATTTGCTGTGAGACCTGAGCTTCAATCCACACCGCACATGTGTGAATCAGCTCTGACAAATTTTATGTCATCTTAGTCAAATTGGGGAGATCTAGCTCATCTTCCAGACCTGAAAACACAGCACAAGAACTGAGAGGAAACACCCTCTCAAATACTTTCCTCAAAAAGAGAAAAAAAAGTATCCCTAATGTAAGATTTCCTATCTTTCCCATCACTTTCATTCCCAGTGACAAAGGTCACTGGAGCAAACAGACAGTGAATCTCCCTAGAAGGAGAACAGACACACATTAATAACCTGACAGGATTCCAACTCTTATACAATTTCATAAACACCCCCCGCCCCCCCCCCCCCCCCCCAAAAAAAAAAAGTGGAACACATTTGGGCTTTAGATATTCTTTAAAAATTCTTGTATTTGTGTCTTTCTGCAGAATATAAATGCTGCACTTACTAAGAGCAGGAAGCAGACGAAGCAGCGAGTTCTTATTTCTCTGTTTTGTGATGTGCAGCAAATAATACAGTCCCACCTCGCAGGCTATTTTGTTCTCATGCAAAAATCTGAAATTAAACATGAAAAAGGCATAAAAAATAAATGATGTCTACAAAAAATAAATATTAACCACTAGCCTAAAGGGCACTTATACCCCCTTCCTGCCCAGGCCAATTTCCAGTTTTCAGCGCTGTCACACTTTGAATGACAATTGTGCGGTCATGCAACACTGTACCCATATGAAATTTTTATCTTTTTTTTGAGACAGATAGAGCTTTCTTTTGGTGGTATTTAATCAGCTTTGGGATTTTTATTTTTTCTTATACCAAAAACCACTGAAAATTAAAGAAAAAAGCAAAAAACGTTTTTTCTTAGTTTTTGTTATACAATTTTGTAAATAAGTGATTTTTCTCCTTCACTGATGTGCGCTAATGAGGCTGCAGTGATGGACACTGATAGGCTGCACTGATGAGGAGGCACTGGTAGGTTGCACTGATGGGCATTGACAGGCATCACTGATGGATGACACTGATAGGCGGCACTGACTGGCACTGTTAGGCAGCACTGACTGGCACTGATGGGTGACATTGAAAGGCAGCTCAGATGGGCACTGATATGTGGCATTAATGTGCACTGGTATGCACTGATATGTGGCACTGAGCACTGACTGCTGGCACTGATGGACACTGACAGGTGGCACTTCTGGGGCCTCACTGATCATCAGGGCACACTGATCATCAGTGCCCTGATGATCAGTGTACATGTCCCCTCCGCGGAAAGCCAATTACCGGCTCTCCTCTCCTCCCGAGCTGTTAGCGTGACAGCTCGAGAGGAGAGAAATGCCGATAACCGGCATTTCCGTGTTTGCATGTGATCAGCTGTGATTGGACACAGCTGATCACATGACCGAGCCGACATCTTCAGCTCTTTCCGTGATCTGCTGTGTCCGAGGGACACAGCGCACCGGCAATCGCCGCGCATGTGCGGTGAGAATGGAAGGACATCATATGACATCCTATCAGAACGAGAGAACCACCTTGCGCCCGTCATTGTACTATATGGTGGGCGGAAGGTGGTTAAAGCAGACCCATCACCTGAAAATTAAATCCCAATCTAATGCTACACCAAAAAAAAAAAAAAATCTGAACCTTAAAATCCAGCAATTATCCCCGTTCATACTAACTAGCTACTAAAAATACCAATAATAAGTATATACAGGCTAACTGAAACAGTGAAGTATCTCACCCATTTGGGACACAGATAGCACTAAAAACTTTGAAATGATTGTAAAGTTTTATTTTTTTTTAAATAAACAGGGTTATACTTATATATGGAACTGCACAGAGCAGACCCAATCCTGCACTACCTGGGTCCCCCCCTGGCTCCTCCTCTTTTTGGTGTGCCACCATAGAAAGCTACTTCCCATTGTGGCACACCTGCTTGTGTCCTTTGACCCGCCCCTGCTCCCTTGCCACAGGATGTGACAGACAGCAGCGAGAACCAATGTCTCCCACTGCTCTCGGCAAAGCCTGAGATTGGGGAGAAGAGGAGAGAGCCACTGCAGACTGTGCTCAATCAAGTGAGGAAGTATGAGGGGTATGAGGGGGTGACAGTATAGTCTAAACATTTTGTACCTTAATGCAAGGAATGCATTAAGTTTAAAAATGTTTAGGTTTTACTTCCACTTTTACCTCTTAAACGCTGCCTCCTGGAAGCCCTTTAAGTGGGCTTTACTGCTTGGGAGGCAGCATGGCTTCTCCATCATGGGAATGCTGGGATTGGCACTTGCGGTGGTCACATGATCGGAAGCCTGTCTCAGTGGTGATCAACAATGAAGAGCTGGAAGAACATTTTGCAACTAATTAGGTTAATTGGCATCAGGTCAGAAACATGACTGGGTATAAAAAGCTCTTAGATTGTAAGCTCCAAGGATCAGGGCCCTCATAACCCTTTTGCATTGAACTGTATTGTTGCTGTATTGTCTCCCGCTTTATTGTAAAGCGCTGAGCAAACTGTTGGCGCTATATAAAATCCTGTATAATAATAATAAGGGCATCTTAGAGAGATCATGTTCTGTCATGTTTCTGACCTGTTGCCAATTACCCTAACTAACTGCAAATTAATCTTCCAGCTTTTCCTTGTTAGTACCACTTACTCCGCCAGCTTTTTCTTGCCCTCTCCCAATTTTATTGAGACGTGTTGCTGCCATTAATTTCAAAATTACCTAATTTTGTTTCATAAAAAATTTCAGTTTAAACATTTGATACAGTTGATATGTGAATAAAAATAAAAACTATGTAGGCATCCTATTGTTTTGTTGAACCCGAATCATAATTCCAGACTGAGTAACTTACATAGTTATTTGTAAATAAATTAATATTTAATAACCCTTTCAGAATGTCACAAGATTATACAGTTCCCCATTAAAGTGTATGTAAAGGCAAAAGGGGAAAGTATAGAACCTCTGCCAAGTTTTATTGCAGTTTGTGTCCTTTCTATGTAGATTTATCCTATTAGCCCGGGTGGCCATTGTCACTGAACCAGAGAGTAACCCTACACCACACAGCATAGTTGTCATGAAAGCAAGAAGTCAGGGAAATCTTCCAATAGAGACAAATGTTTTGGTGACAACTGTCCAAGATGGCAATTCCTCTCCTGGTGGGGAAATTTTCTGTTTCCAGTACAGGAAGTAAAAGGAGATCTACACAGCAGGACAGCAAAAAATTACTTGACAAGTTCATAATCAGCGCTATCCATACTTAGTCCAAAACTAACACACCTGATAAAGACATCTGGCAGAGTATTGGGATATGTAACCGGCACTTTTTCCTCAGTCGGTAACTTGTGTTCCACATTGAAAGTGTAATCATCGACCACCAAGGACATCAACAGAGGAAGAAATTTAGTAATCAGTTCTGCCTCCTATAGAAAGAAGAATAGGATTGAAAACACAGTGAAAACACTGTATTCATGTTGCATTCATTGGAGCATACAGCCCCACCTAAAGAAAAAGGGGACACCAAGTTGCTCTCTATAATAAATGATAGCATTTTCCTCTGCACGCAGTTTTTGGGTATGTTATATAGTTCAGATATAGATTTATATGCAGCAATTACTGTTTAAAACATAGAATAAAAGATGTTTTAATCTTCTAAACAATGAATTGATCCTGGGAAGGGGGGGGGGGGTTATGTTTTTGATTGGCATTTACAGACTTTAGAATGCTTTGTAACACCTGGAGACCACAAATGAGAGCAATCAATGAGCTAATATGGCTACCTGCTAAAATCTGGCTGCATGGCTGTTCAGTTTACCATAAAGGCAATCTGTCACTTTGCCCATTCATGGCAGAGTGGCGGGTTCTCTTTAAAGCCAACCCTTTTCCTCCACCTACTGAAACTTCCTTCAATCCCTTAATCTATCACAAATGTGGGTCCAAACTCTGTGTAAATTCCATGTCAGAGCTTACACGGGATTGTTAATCTCTTAGTAACCCTTTTACCCTCTCCACGTGAGCTGGAAATTAGCCACTCAAGCACAAGCACTACATCCTGGGAGGAAGGGGAGAAGGTCACAATCTCTCTCACACTTCCAAACACCAGGTATTTCTGGAGATTTTTAAAGTGTCACTCCAACCAAACTGTTTTCAGTGTTGGTGTTACTGCTGAGTAAGTATATCATGTATGTAAGTATGTTGAGGGAAAAAAAAAATTCCCATCTGGGTGATCAATGTACATTGCAAAGGTTTTAACAAACTATGCTGCAGTTTCCTATCTGTTTCTGCTTGGAAGGAATAGCTCTGGTTAGACCATGTCTTGTGCAATGCTATCTGAAATCCTCTGGGCCCAGAGAGCTCCCCACATGATGCCAGGAGTGGCTGACAAAGTTTTATTATATTCATCGAGTTTTCAGTATGTAAGAGACAGCAAGGAGTCTGCAGTGAGAATGTTTGTGAATGCCTCTCCTATATTCCAAGTATGGTTCCCAAACTTCCATTACAAGTACAAAGCAATTATATTGTTCTCCCTGTATGGGTTTTCCAGTTTACCATTCAATTCTGAGTGTACATTTTAGGATGCTTTGGTGTGGGTCACCTGTAATGGAAACTTACCAGTTTGGGTTCTTTAAACACTTGACTATCTATCATGTCCCATGCGCCGTGTCCCAGAGACAACATCCTCAGAAGGAGCAGCAGCTCAGGACTATCCTAATGTAAACAAACAAAAAAAACAAAAAAAAACCGAAAAAGGTCAAATAGCAAGTTGTGTCCAAAAAGGTTTAGAAACGTTTTTAAAACAAAGTTCTCTTTGAAGTCTCCCTCTACAGGGGCTGCATTGGCTGTTTGGGAGATTTAAGCAAGGATTCCCCTGCTGTTAATCATGCCCAGTGAGACGCAAGCGGGGGGAGGGGGCAGGGCACACAGGGACAGCTCAGGAGCAAGCATGCACAAGTCCCTTCAGAGCAAGCAGCTCCTGCTTTGGGGGGGGTGTAGGAGGAGCCAAATGCACTGGCAGGGGACCCGAGAAGCAGAGGATTGGGGCTGCTTTGTGCAAATCCATTGCACGGAGCAGGTAAGTATAACGTGTGGTATTTGAAAAAAAAATCTGAACCTTTAGTATCACTTTAAGGTCTTTCCAGATCTCTCTGTCTCAAGGCAACCAGGTATTGTCAACCGAATATGAAATTTTAGCTGATGTGTAGTTTGCAATGGTAATATTATGGGAAAAGGAACTTAGAATAGTTGCACATATACTACACACAGTTTATTACAGTTGCTTTGTTAGGTTCTCTGGTACTCACCCTCGGGAGGGACTCCTGGCTAATTAGTTCCTGAAGGTTTCGAATGGTGCTAAGAGCTAAAGTGTTGATTGCAAAAGGATCACAAAGGATCATAGACAGGTCCCTGTAATGCACAGAACAGAGTTAGATTCCCTAACAGGCAACCACAGAAGACAAATATTTTTGTGGAATCCATAGTGTAATGTGGTGGGACAGTGTAGGAGGTAGAGATGCAAATATGAAGTAACTGTGTAATTCTGTTCCAAGAATCTATTTTGTCTAAAGGCCCCACACTAATCATTCCTCTGCATCATGCAGTAGCATTCCTGAACTGTATGGCTGGCAGAAGATTCTACACAGGCTTTAAGGGCACACACAGGCCACAGCTACTACAGGGTCTGGAGGTAGAAGCATACAAGTATGATCTTTAGGATGAACAGGATAAAGTTGTTGGCTGTTTGTCAGTGTCTCATCTTGGGACAAAAGCCTTCCCCCAAAGCATGACATGACTCCACCTGCTCATGTACTTCTAGTTTCACCTTGTGACAAGTATGTATTCTGCTCAACAGTTCCTAAATCAAAAGACACCCACATAGTTCCTTTGTAACTCCTGGTGCTGTATTGGTTAATATATTAGCCAGTTATCTGTATCACCTATCCTTTACCCATGTTGCAACTCTGCCTGGATGCCTCCTGCCCTTGAAACATTTCACAGCTGACAGACGGCTCATCAGTTGTTAGCCACCTATGGTGGCACAGTTGCTACACACTATTATACTCAAATACAATGCTGGAACATAGACACAAAAGGAATATGGGGCTGGAAACGGTTAAAGTTTCTACTTTAAACATCTAGATTGTAAGCTCGAAAGAGTAGGGCCCTCTAACCCCTCGTGTGCGCTTTGTTGTTGTTGTACTGTTTCATGTATAGTCCCCCCCTCTATTGTACAGCGCTGAGCAAACCCTTTGGCGCTATATAAACTCGATGTAATAATAATAATAATAATCTTACCCCAGCACCTGTTCTTGCCCTTTCTTCACTCCATCCAAGAATCCCTGCAGTTCCCGTGCCCTCTTTGCATCCACAAACTTCTCTCGTATACAGGCGTCCAAGCACCAGGTAAACTAGAAAAAAGTTAAATGACTTACACCAAATTTCACTGACCTCTATAATCATTCGTATTTCCAATCCAACCACATACTGCATAGTACAAGGTACCTGCAGTGCAATAATAGGATCCTATAACACAGCCAGTTAGCAATGGGGGCCAGGATCAGGACGCTTTTGTTGCAGAATGGCGCACCCCCCCCCCAGTGGGGAATGCAGGTATCCAAACACCTGTAAGTGTCACATGCTGGGGATTCTAGAAGAAACTGAAGGCTTGGGTATCAGGACAGGTATTATAAATCATCTTTTTGAAGCTGCTTTTATTTTTCAGCAACAGAGTCACATTAAGTTTAAAGATCTACTATTAAGATTACTGACCTAACACAAATATTATCAATCTGGGTGGCAGCTTTTGTATATAGTTAGTAATTATGCAAGTCCATAAGGACAGCCATATTCATTGCTTATGACAAACACAAATACTCCTGCGCTTGGGGGTGGACTCAACAGACCATATCTCGAATGTTCTGGATAGTGCACGCCTTCCTGCCTTCAAAGGACCGGGGAAGTCCCCAAATACACTGAATGCAAAGAAAACAAACAGAAGGCGCACCAGCCTAGTGCATTACCTTAAAAACATTTATTAATAAAAGGTGATAGGTAATAATATAGTCACAAATGACAGCTGGCTCTGAAGAAGAGGCAAGTCCTCGAAACATGTTAGCCTGTTGGGAGGTCCAGGATTCCCATTGCAGACAGTCACGTAGTGTGGACTGGACAGTGCTGTTCTTTTATGATGTGCCTTTGACGTTATTTTCATTTGTGAGTATATTACCTATCACCTTTTATTAATATATGTTTTTAAGGTAATGCACTAGGCTGGTGCACCCTCTGTTTTCGTTATACTCCTCGATTATGTAGGCTCTGCTTCTTGTATTTCCTCATTACATATGCAGGCTGTGCTTCCTGCTTAGTAGTGCTGCATGATACTTGTGCTTTATTGTTTACATCAGCCAGGTCACATAGCAGCCCTTAAACAAGGCTGCTATTAATTCGTTTGACAAAGAGCACCTAAAAAATATCTAAGTTCTGTGTATGACGATACTGGACAGAAAACATGTAAAAGCCACATCAAAAACCTACGGCTTTCCATTGCTCTTTAAATCAGAAATGGCACAAAATATGCCAACATAACATCCCTATAAGATCATACCTTGTGACAGGGATCTACAGAACAGATCTCGCTGACGTCCAAGTCATGTAAGGACATGAGGAGCTCTGCCCTCAGAGTACAATAGTGCACATTTCGTGTCCTCAAAAATAGCGTGCGCAGGAACTGCAGAACCATGTCATACAGCTTCACATTCTTTCCAATCATCTGCGTCAGTTTATTCACCACCTAAAGAAATAAAAATAGGTAAACCTACAATTGGAGCAACTGTCTAATCTGTCAGATTATGATCATGCCCTGAAAAGGTTATGAAGTACTGATTTCCCATCATGCAAAACACATGCCCTACCTCTCCCTGCCTCCTTGTTTTTGGAGACAGACTGAAGAAGTTGTGCAGGACAGAGAGCTCACTGCTGAGCAGGATATTCTCCTTCTCCAAGATGTACTGCTTAAGCAAAGGTGAGACCTCATCACCGAACAGAGCCTGGTTATCCTGCCAGATCTGGCGCTTCACTTCCACTGCACATGCTTTGTATAGCTCCTTGTCCGCCATCACCAGCTTCAGCTTCTTCTCTGGGACCTTTTGGATGCAAAACAGCAACTAACAAGTGTTACATCATAAATCTTTCTCTGGAAAAACTCAGCAAATCTACACCTTCTAATAAAAGATCTGTATCTTTCTCAAGCCAAACCACTTAAGCCAGCCATAGATGGTTTGAATCTTGGCCGGTTCAGCAGGGACCAGTTGTGATTCGATTCATCGATACGCAGGCTAATTGTACCCAGGTCAATCCACTGATCGACTTGGATACAACCAGCATGTCGGATTTTTAGCATGTAAATATTGCCAGCGGCTATAGCCGCTACCAGTAATCATTGTGTTCTCCTGGTAGGGACGGCTCCCCATGCCCCCTCACCGGGAGAACATAATAGCTCCACAGGAGGGATTCCCCCATCAACACTGTGCTGATGGGGGAAAATCGATCAATTTTATTTCTGGCAACCCATGGTTGCAGGGAAGGAAACATTGCATAATCTATGAACTGCCTTAGCCCTAGTAAAATAAAAAAGGTTTTCACTATACACCAATCAGCCATAATAATATGATCACTGACAGGTAAAGTGATTAACATTGATTATCTCATTAAAATGGCATCCTAAAGTGGGTGGGATATATTAGACAACAAGAGAACATGTTTTCCCTGAAGTTAATGTGTTGAAAACAGTAAAAATGGGTAAGCTTAAGGATTTGAGCAACTTTAGCCATTACAATATAGTGTTTGTCAGACGTCTGGGTCAGAGCATCTCCACAACTGCAGCTCTTGAGGGATGTTCCCAGTCTGCAGTGGTCAGGACCTACCGAAAGTAGTTCAAAGAAGGAAAACCGACAAACTGGTGGCAGGGTCATGGGCAGCCATTGCTCACTAATGCACATGGGAAGGCCTGTGCAGTCCGATCTAAGAGAAAAGCTACTGTAGCTCAAATTGCTGAAAAAGTAATTTGTCTATTATGCACTCTTACGAGGCTAGAACTCAGGGACAGTTCCCTATTATATATATATATATATATATATATATATATATATATATAGTTGTTCATATCTGCATCTCTGCATTATCCTACTAGGATATAGACAGGAATCTGAATTGTGCACCATTTGGCTGTACTGAACAAGTGAAACAAGGGATTCCAGAATCCTGTATTGTTTATAGATCTTTATTCTATAACACTGTGTATACACAAATATTTCCATAACTCTTTATTGTGCCTTATTCAGGCATCTGTTCTAATCAAATCATTGCAATTTTTTGTGCTTTCTTAAAACAATTACTATAAAAAAATTGCTGAAAAAGTTAAAGTGTTACTAATGCTATATGTGGTCTCCCCCACAGTACACAGAACATGGAAATGCAACTATTTTAGTAAATATAAACTGCTAAATACCTGCTCTCATCAGCAGTATATAGCAGTCTTGTGACTTCTATCAGTGTCACGCACAGCACTGGTTAAAGGGTTAAAGTTTGTAGAAGTTTTCTTTCTGCTCTAGGAGGATGCAGAACCCCTGACCTCTGTCTGGACAGTGCCGATTGGCCCTGTGCTGATCACATGCACTCTCCCAAGAAAAAAAAAAAAAAAAACCTCTCTAGTATTACATACGAAACTGAGCATGTGCCTTATCAGGAGATAAGATGGGGGGGACTGGAAGAAGGGGAGGATCAGAGAAGTCAGGACCAAACAGCATTTTAATACAAGGCAGAGGATTAACCCCTTAGGTTCCACAATGACAAGTATAACAAGCATGCTTTACTGCATATACAGACTGATTTTACTGTTGTGGGTTTAGTAACACTTTAACCTGTTCCCGACAGCAGAATGACCGCTGAGCAGGACTCGTCAATCTGGGTGGGCGTCATATGATGTCCATCCCGGATCGTGCTGTGGCGAGATCTGTCAATGGTTGTGTACCTTGGACACAGCCAATGACAGATCTGTGTACCGGAACATTGCCAGTACCATGTGACCTGTTGTGACTAATCACAGCAGGTCACATGACAATGGATGGCTTCATTTCATGCCATCCATTGTATACAATTGTGTCACTAGCAGTGATTGGTCACAGTGATCACATGCACAGACTGGGCCAATCACAGCCCATCTGTGTCTCATGTGATTAGCCGTGGCCAATCACAGCTAATCACAACAGAAAAACCTGAATGAATCGATTTCAAATCAGTTAAATGCATGTTCATAGCAAAGACATCCTTAATCATTATGTGTAAAAAAAAAAAAAAATAAATAAATAGGTACTATCCCAACGTAATACAATGTTACCATGGTAACATTATACTACTCTGTTCATGGTGTAATATAAAAAAAAAAAATCTTTAAAAAAAAAAAAAAAGAAATGTAATAAAAAAAATTGAAACAAAAAAAGTATAATTTTTTTCCCCATACAGTCACCAGTCAGTGTGAGCACTGCCACACCAGTTATATGATGATTATTATTTTTTTTTTTTTTTTTTTTTTCACCATTTTCCAAAAAAAATACAACTTCAAAAAACTTGACATGCCTCTTATTAAATATTTCAGACTGTCTACTTTGCAAAAAGGGGCCATTTTGGGGATATCTGTACTGTTCTGACATTTTTGGGCCTCATGAAATTAGGTTGGCTGTCAGTACTTCAAAACTGATCAATATTCAGATCTATCCCATAGTTTGTGAACCCTATAACTTTCCTACAGACTAAATAATAAATACTGATTTGGGTTATTTTCACCAAAGAAATGTAGCAGAATACATCTTGGCCTAAATTGATGAAAAATAATTAATTTATTTGCAAACTTTTATAACAGAAACCAAAAAAAAAAACATGTTTTTTTTTTATTTTTGTTTTTTTCTGTAAATTTAGCAAAAAAAAAAAAAAACAAAACCCCAGTGGTGATTAAATACCAAAAAAAGAAAGCTCTAGTTGTGTGAACAAAATTATAAAAATTTAGTTTGGGTACAGTGTTGCATGACCGCACAATTGTCATTCAAAATGTGAGAAGGCTCAAAGCTGAAAATTGGCTTGGGCAGGAAGGGGGTAAAAGTGCCCGGTATTGAAGTGGTTAATGTTGGTACCAATAGAAATGTGTCAGAACACACATTGCATCGCAGTTTACTGTGTATGGGGCTGTGTAGCTGAAGACTGGTCAGGGTGCCCATGCTGACCTATGTCCTATGTGAACCTCAGAAACGGACCATGGAGCAATAGAAGAGGTGGCCTGGACTACGGAATTCAAGAATAGTTTGAGGAATACATCAATGAGTTTGAATTGAGAAGACAGATAGCCCCAAGCCAGAAGCAATATTAGTCCAGATATCAAGGATGATGTGCCAGTAAGAGCAACATAGAACTTTGGAGTCAGTGTACTGATAAATGCAGACACGGCCAGCACGGTCTCATACAGGCGGAGCGGCGCTCGGAAGTGGTAGAGAAGAAACAGGCCCACAAGCCAGGCTTCTGGCCTGGGGTTCTTTTGTATTGAGGGAGCCCGGGCTTTTTGAAGGTGTTCATCAAAATCCTGCCCATCTGCTGTCTGATGATCTGGATAATACCTCTATTGGCTGATGTTGATATCCCTGGAACCTTGTCCTTTTGGCCTGGGAGATATGACATCTAGTGGCAAGATATAAGATGACAACCATCTATCCAGTGGCCCATATCCAGAGCACTAGGAGTAGGTCTTAATTACTCCATGCTTCCTCTGCTTATGCATCTGGTTAGTGCACCCTATACTCAGTACAATTACCACAAGAGTCACGAGCATTCTAGTTTATCGCCTGCTGATGCATCACAGAAGTCACGTTTACCCTATATGATCTACATGCTGTGTTAACCTGTAAGTTCTGCATCATATTTGAGCTATAACCATTGAACTTACTTATCCTATGTATTTATGTCTAATTTTGGCATCGAGCGCTGCATATTTTTATTGTCTAATGAGTTTGAAGTGTTGACTTGGCCTCTAAATTCTACAGATCTTAATCTATTTAAGCATCTGTGGGATGTACTGGAAAAACAAGTCTGATCAATGAAGGCCCCATAAGGCAACTTACAGGACTTAAAGGATCTGCTGATTGGTTCCAGATACCAAAGTATACCTTCACAGGTCTGACCATGCCTCGACAGGTTATGGTGGGTGGTCATAATGTTACGGCTGATCAGTGTATAAGTTAAGACTGTATCTCCTGTCACCTCTCTCTGTTACTCAGCCCTCAGGCCTTGTGCAAGGCCTAGCACTTCATCTGTGCAACCTTCCTCACTAGATTATATTGGGTTCTACAAAATTCAACAAACAAAAAGGAAACTCACCTTTGGTAGGTGTTTCATTACACACATCACCACAGGCTGGATTGATGGCATTTTAACCAAAGCAAAACATTTCTCCAGCAACTCTTCCAATTTACTGTACCTAAAATGCAAAATCACAACTATGATATGATCAACAGTTATCCTGCACATATAGATAACATCCCATTGATGGTTACATGATAAAAGGTGTCATATGATACAGGACAGAAGTGATTATGTGGTACTTCATTGTAACCAAACTTGCACCTTTCCTGCATGTTGGTAGAAGACAGCTTAAGCATATCAGCATTTATTCTCCTCATTGCTGAAAGGTTCTGGTGCAGAGACACCTACAAAATCATGACGCTTTGCCTTACATTTCCACAATTCTTTTAGTACAGCTGGTGATTGAGTGACTATAATATTTTATACCACCTGGGGCTTCAAGGTGATAGATAACAAAAGGTTGTAATGTGTATATCTTCCTGTAACGGCACTCAGCTTTATCTAGCTTCAAATATACACTGTATTTCTTATCAGGCACATGCCTTCTAAGTAATGTGTAAGACTTGCAAAGATTTACGATTTCTCACAGAGTTCACAGTACTTCTCCTGACAATGCTTTCATCATCATTTCTCTCCAGAAAGTATCACCTTTGTTTAAGCATCATCTGTGGTAGGCATTAAGATGTTGACTCAGAGAGAACATGAATGTAAATCCTGGTGGTTGCGCAGTTATTGGTCTGTTCACAAATGCCTGACACAAAGTTACAGTGTACAGTCTGAGTGATGACTGGGGATAAGAGACTAAGAATAGCTTCCTCCTGCCTGCAGTAAACAGGTGGAATTATATTAGTCTTGACAAAGTCACTGACTGGGCTCAAAGACTGCTTTTTAAAGGCATTATAAACCTTCCTACTTGCACTTTGTGTTTTTCACCCACATAAGTTCTGCATTGACCCTGTACTTTCATGTCATAATTTATATTTCACCCAAAATCTGCATAATCGATTGTTTGTCCTAAAATTCACTTTAGTGTGTTTTGTACTGACATTTTACGTTTTCTAGACCTTTGTGGTAATATTGTGTGACAAAAAAAAAAATTGGAACTACCATCGTTTTATTCTCTAGGATTTCTGCTTTCAGAAAATATACAATATTTGGGGGGGCCTTGTCTAGTCTTCAGGCCTAAAATTATTTTTTAAACGTGTGCAAAAAATGCAAAACCATCTGGCAGCAAAAGGGTTAAACAATAAACACATTTGAAAGTGTACAATGCCTTTAATAAATAGGAAGAACATACTCATGCATACTTGTAACGTTACTGAGAATTCAACTTTACTACTAAAATCCAGTTGCCTGTATTAGAAAACACTACTGCAGATTGTTATTCGCTATCAAACACCTGTCCAGACCAGATGTAAATTGTAACAAAACCAAAACAAGTGATTTTAATCCCACCGGTCCTCATCTTTTCCTTCAGACGCGATGAATGAGACCCTTTCCAGTAACTTCTCTCGCAGTTCATCAAAGACTGTCTGGTGAAACTCCAGTCGGGGAATGCCATGAAGATCCAGGAATGGCAGTGCTGACTGCAGTGATGGAAGGAGGACCCCATTTTCTGTCTGAAATTAAAAACATATCAGTAAATGATTGCAGTGTTTTTATACATGAAAAGGTCTGCCCTGACATGACTAAGCATACATAGAGCACAACCACAAGATTCATCAATGCATAAAAGACAATATGGAAATCACTCAGATGGTGAGGTGATTCAATCAAGAACCCAAAGCAGTAGTAAGGTGACAGGGGCAGTGGAGTGGTACAGTCAGATTACAGTGAGAGGTAGAGGGGGACACATACGTGACTGGCAGCGGTGGGTGCAGTCAGGTGACAATAGATGTCATAGGAGGAGTATTTTCAGCAGACAGGGTGCAGGGTGGGGGAACCAGGGATGTTCAATTCATGTCGTTTTGGGCGTCAGGCAGGTAGTTTTTTTTACCTTTAGCCCTGCTGCGGGCAAGCAGCAGGGCTCACTGTCAGATGGAAGCATTCGGGTGGCAGCGCTGCCACCCAATTGCTTCCACACAGCCCACTATGGTGCCAGTCTGCACCCCCTCGCCTGCTATATGTCTTGGGCTCTGCTTGTCCATCTGTGGACCCAGGATCAGTTCAGTGGGTGCCGGCAGGTATAGGGGAGGGAGGAGAACGGACACATTCACTCCTCTCCCCTTCTTGTCCTGAGCCGGAAATTATGTGCCGTCACTTCAGAATGAGATGTGCACTGCATTACATCCAGTGTAGTACAGGGGAGACATTCAGAGTCTTTCAGACCCTGGATGTTTCAAAAAAGAGAACCTGTCACCAAAAATCCCCTCACCCCCACATATGTACGCACCTACAAACATAAAAGCACGCGCTGGTGCGCCTATGCATGAAAACAATTGCGATACTCACGGGGGCGGGGTGGAAGGGGGACATAGGGGGAAAGGGGGGACATAGGGGGTCACGCAGGGCGGGGGGAAAGGGGGACATAGGGGGTCACGCAGGGCGGGGGGAAAGGGGGACATAGGGGGTCACGCAGGGCGGGGGGGAAAGGGGGTCACGCAGGGCGGGGGGAAAGGGGGACATAGGGGGTCACGCAGGGCGGGGGGAAAGGGGGTCACGCAGGGCGGGGGGAAAGGGGGTCATAGGGGGTCACGCAGGGCAGGGGGAAAGGGGGACATAGGGGGTCACGCAGGGCGGGGGAAAGGTTGACATAGGGGGTTCACGCAGGGCAGGGGGAAAGGTTGACATAGGGGGTCACGCAGGGCAGGGGGAAAGGTTGACATAGGGGGTCACGCAGGGGGACACGCAGCAGGGCAAGGGGGACATAGGGGGGGAAAGTGGTCACGCAGGGCAGGGGAAAAGGGGGACATAGGGGGTCACGCAGGGCGGGGGGGGGGACATAGGGGGTCACGCAGGGGGTCACCAGGGGGGAAAGGGGGACATAGGGGGTCACGCAGGGCGGGGGGAAAGGGGGACATAGGGGGGTCACGCAGGGTCCACGCAGGGCGGGGAAGGTAGGGGGTCACAGGGGGGGGGGAAAGGGGGACATAGGGGGTCACGCAGGGCGGGGGGTAGGGGGTCACGCAGGGGGAAAGGGGGGGGGCAGGGGGACATAGGGGGTCACGCAGGGGGAAATGGGGTTCACGGAGCGGGGGGGGGAAAGGGGGACATAGTGGGGTCACGCAGGGGGGGGGACATAGGGGTCAGGGGTCACGACATAGGGGGGGAAAGGGGGGACATAGGGGGTCACGCAGGGCGGGGGAAAGGGGGACATAGGGGGTCACGCAGGGGGGGGAAAGGGGGACATAGGGGGTCACGCAGGCGGGGGAAAGGGGGACATAGGGGGTCACGCAGGGCGGGGGGGAAAGGGGGACATAGGGGTCACGCAGGGCGGGGGGGAAAGGGGGACATAGGGGGGAGTCACGCAGGGCGAAAGGGGGACATAGGGGGTCACGCAGGGGCGGGGGGGGAAAGGGGGACAAATAGGGGGTCACGCAGGGGGGGGAAAGGGGGTCACGCAGGGCGGGGGGACATAGGGGGTCACGCAGGGCGGGGGGACATAGGGGGTCACATAGGGGGGGGGACGCAGGGGTCACGCAGGGGGGGAAACGACAGGGGGACATAGGGGGTCACGCAGGGCGGGGGGAAAGGGGGACATAGGGGTCACGCAGGGCGGGGGGGGAAAGGGGGACATAGGGGGTCACGCAGGGGCGGGGGGAAAGGGGGACATAGGGGGTCACGCAGGGCGGGGGAAAGGGGGACATAGGGGGTCACGCAGGGCAGGGGGGGGGGACATAGGGGGATTCACGCAGGGGGGGGGATTTGATGATAAAGGGGGGGGGGGCATGTCGGGTGCCACGCGGGGGGGGTGAGGGGGGGCATGTCGGGCCATGCAGGGTGGGAGAAGTGACAGAAGGAGAGGCATAACAGGTGATGGAAAAGGGGGAAAATATCAGTTGGCAGATTGGAGGGGTTAGTCAAGTGATGGGGCAAAGAGGGAGGAATCAGTCAGGTGTGGGGGTCATTAGGGGAGATAAGTCAGGTGACAGGGGGCAAACAGGTGAAAGGGCAATGGAAGAGGAGATTCAGGCAATAGAAGTGACGAGGAGGGAGACCATTTGAGTGAAAGAGGCAGAAAGAATGTCAAGTCATGTGACAAGGAGTATTGGGATGGGTATGTCACATGACAGTAAGGTATTCGAGTGACACGAGGGCATTAATCAGGTGACATGAGCAGGGATCGGTCAGGTGACATGGGGGGAGGAGAATCGATCAGGTGACAGGGGGGTACCTGGAACTGCTCTATGGCTTTCAGTGGTTCGGTACAGTTGGTGAGGGTCTCCTTCAGATCCTCCCCGTTGGCGATGCCGATCTCCTGCAGGCCGGCGAACATCCGTCCCCCCTCCCTTTTTTTCCCCCGGGGCCCGGTAGCAGGAGCAGCCGCAGCTGCAGCAGCCCCTGTTCCGCTCTGCTCCGGCATCTTCCCACTTCCAGCTCGGCTCATCTACATTACACTACTTGCTTCCCGGTGCAAATAAACATCATTTCCGTCCTCAGCGCCAAGCTCTACTTCCTTTTCCTGTGAGGGCGGGGTTTTTCGGAAGTTATCCTGTTACCATGGTAGCAGAGGACTGGTCCCCACAGAACGACATCTACAGGAGAGCCGAGGAATAGGTGGAGCTATTGCTGAGCTGTGCTTGGAAAGTGATCGCTGTGTAGTTGTTCTACTGACTGAAATACTTTCTGTACACTCCGAGGCAGGGGCGGACTGACAACTCATGGGGCCCCCGGGCAATAGGGGATCATGGGGCCCCTGTGTCCTTGCCCAAACTCAAAAAAGCCTATGAAAAAGGTACCAGGGGCATCTCATGGGGCCCCCTACTGACCCTGGGCCCTCAGGCAGTGCCCGTGTTTCCAAATGGTCAGTCTGCCCCTGCTGCGAGGCTAGTAATGAACTGTACATAGGGGGCTGCCATAGCTGTCCACCCTCTAGAACAGTGCTGCTTGTATGTCTCTGCTGTCTATATATGCTGACCTAGGACAAGGAGCAGCCAGTGAATATACAGCTTCTGTCCCAGGTTAATGACTGAAAATATCAAAACATGACAACCAAGGAAGTCGTATTTTCAGAAGGGGGTCTGTTCTCTAAAAAAAAAAGTTCCTGTTTCCGATTAGCACAGAAGCAGCAGATAAATACATGTGAACTGTGCACTGTCTGTTCTGTAAGGCATGTATACAGAATCTCACAGATTATGGTCCCAGACGACCAGTCATAGCCTGCTACAGAAATAAATATGCAAGATACAGTAACGGAAAGAAGACTGAAATAGAATAGAGGAACATGGCCAGTAATACAGCTGCAACAAAGCTTTCATTTGCAAATCTGACAAACCAGAACTACCAGTCTTGGAAATTCAAGATGAAAATGCTGCTAAAGAGAAGGTACATGGAAATGTACAAATGAAGTCAGGCCAGAACACCTTCAGATGAGAGGATAGAGAAAGATCAGAAAGCTCAGAGCACAATCTCTCAGCATAGAAGATGATCATATTATATACTGTATATATATATATATATATATATATATATACTGAGGAACAGAAGTATTTGAACACCCTGCGATTTTTTGCAAGTTCTCCCAGTTAGAAATCATGGAGGGGTCTGAAATTCACATTGTAGGTGCATTCCCACTCTGTGAGACAGAATTTAAAAAAAAATCAGGAAATCACATTGTATGATTTTTAAAGAATTTATTTGTCTTGCACTGCTGAACATAAGTATTTGAACACCTGAGATAATCAGTGTTAATATTTAGTACAGAAGCCTTTGTTTGCAATTATAGAGGTCAAACGTTTCCTGTAGTTCTTGACCAGGTTTGCACACACTGCAACAGGGATTTTGGCCCACTCCTCCACACAGATCTCCTCTAGATCTGTCAGGTTTCGGGGCTGTCGCTGAGCAACATGGAGTTTCAGCTCCCTCCAAAGATGTTCTATTGGATTTAGTCACAAAAATAGAAAAGAAAAGAGCCACCTGTAATAACACAGATAATTTGTGTCCTAGTACTATCTCCGACTCACTTATCGTAGAAGTGTGGATTTATAAACCGGGAAATGCTTAATAAAAAAATATGGTAGTGTGACAAGAGCAACACCACCCAAAAGGAAAGTGGTTACTTAAAGATCCACGCAAAGTAATATAAGTTCAATAGTTACAAAGAGTACTTTATTTGATCACATAGATCATAGGGAGGTTAAACACAAGCACGGTGAACATATCAAACAAATAATAAAATCATTTAAAAGCACTTGGCGTCCTCATTTCTGGGTGGTTTTGGCACATAGGGAACCATATAAGGCAATGGGGTTTTCTAGCTATATGATCCTAGATTTCCATATAGTTCAATCTTGTATTTAGATTAGCCATGTATTCTTCAGACGTATTCTTGGTATAAGCCAGGATATGTAGAATAACTTCCTGCTGAATGGAAACTAGAACAAAAAGATATGGTGATAAAAAACTTAAATAGCACATAAATCGCACCAGAGCTGCCCCATGCAAAGATCAACTAGTACTTCCATTACCTTCTCAGTAACTTGGCTGTCATACCAGCATGATGAATGTAGAGACTTCCTGGGTAACCACCCCACCCCAGTGAAACAAAGTCCACAATAACAGGTGATTCTAGAGGTATATATAAAAATATAGATCATAAACATCAAGCAGAATCCCTGAATAATAAAAAAACAACAAAATAAAGGTATATATTACCATCAATGAAGATCAAGAGGACTTCACATCGACTTGAAATAAGATCAGGTCCTTTCTGCTTGTTCAGTAGTGTATATATGAGTGGGAAACCAGGTAGTCTCAATACATACATTTCAAAAAGAGTATTATATATATAGCAGGCACTGTATACCTGAGTCTATATACCCAGTGAAGGGTTTCCAAAAATTGCTCAAACTGAGATAGTAAAGCGGTTCCTTAAGGATATAACTATATCACAGCGTACAGCACATGTGTGACATAGAGTATGTATATTCCTCCAGAGAGGATTTCCAAAAAATTCCCTGAAAAAATAGGGGTACTAGGCACATATAGCATTCCATATAGACTCCATATAAGCTCTATAAATCTAAACAGCGACTGCCGCTAACTGAGCCAAATAAGCAAAAATAACTTGCCACCGGTGGAAGGTATGCTCTTATTTAGAATTGCCATGTGCGGACTGCTGGAATAGTAGCCTTATGGTAATTTTTCAAAGCCTCGTGCCTTTCTAGCATGGAGCTGGAGCAACGCCGCTCCTTCCCTCCTCGTGGGCACCGCACCCTATGAAGACGCCGAGCGTAGTGACGTCATTACGTTGACGCGTTTCGTCCACCAATCATCGCGGACTTCGTCAGAACTGATCTATATTTTTTAGTATATATACCTCTAGAATCACCTGTTATTGTGGACTTTGTTTCACTTGGGGTGGTTACCCAGGAAGTCTCTACATTCATCATGCTGGTATGACAGCCAAGTTACTGAGAAGGTAATGGAAGTACTAGTTGATCTTTGCATGGGGCAGCTCTGGTGCGATTTATGTGCTATTTAAGTTTTTTATCACCATATCTTTTTGTTCTAGTTTCCATTCAGCAGGAAGTTATTCTACATATCCTGGCTTATACCAAGAATACGTCTGAAGAATACATGGCTAATCTAAATACAAGATTGAACTATATGGAAATCTAGGATCATATAGCTAGAAACCCCATTGCCTTATATGGTTCCCTATGTGCCAAAACCACCCAGAAATGAGGACGCCAAGTGCTTTTAAATGATTTTATTTGTTTGATATGTTCACCGTGCTTGTGTTTAACCTCCCTATGATCTATGTGATCAAATAAAGTACTCTTTGTAACTATTGAACTTATATTACTCTGCGTGGATCTTTAAGTAACCACTTTCCTTTTGGCTGGTGTTGCTCTTGTCACACTACCATATTTTCTATTGGATTTAGGTCTGGAGACTGGCTAGGCCACTCCAGAACCTTGATATGCTTCTTACGGAGCCACTCCTTGGTTATCCTGGCTGTGTGCTTCAGGTCGTTGTCATGTTGGAAGACTCAGCCACGACCCATCTTCACTGCTCTGACTGAGGGAAGGAGGTTGTTGCTCAAAATCTCACAATAAATGGCCCCATTCATCCTCTCCTTAATACAGTGCAGTCGTCCTCTCCCCTTTGCAGAAAAGCACCCCCAAAGCATGATGTTACCACCCCCATGCTTCACAGTAGGGATGCTGTTCTTGGTATGCAACTCATCCTTCTTTTTCCTCCAAACACGACAAATGAAGTTTAGACCAAAAAGTTCTACTTTGGTCTCATCTGACCACATGACTTTCTCCTATGCCTCCTCTGGATCATCCAGATGGTCATTGGCAAACATCAGATAGGCGTGGACATGTGATGACTTGAGCAGGGGAACCTTCCGTGCAATGCATGATTTGAAACCATGACGGGGTAGTGTTCTACTGACAGTGACCTTTGAAACTGGGGTCCCAGCTCTCTTCATGTCATTGACCAGTTCCTCCCTTGTAGTTCTGGGCTGATTCCTCACCTTTCTTATCATCAGTGATACCCCATGAGGTGAGATCTTGCATGGAGCCCCAGTCCGAGGGAGACTGACAGTCGTCTTTAGCCTCTTCCATTTTCTAACAATTGCTCCAACAGTTGATCTATTTTCACCAAGCTGCTTGGCAATTGCCCCGTAGCCCTTTCCAGCCTTGTGGAGGTCCACAATTTTGTCTCTGGTGTCTTTTGACAGCTCTTTGGTCTTGCCCATGGTAGTAGTTGGCGTCTGACTGACTGTGGGGTGTACAGGTGTCTTTAAAGAGCTCAGACAGGTGCTACTAAGTTAGATTAATGAGTGGAGTAGGGGTGGACTTTTTAAAGGCACAGTAACAGGTCTTTGAGAGCCAGAATTCTTGCTGTTTCATAGGCGTTCAAATACTTATGTTCAGCAGTGCAAGACAAATAAATTCTTTAAAAATCATACAATGTGATTTCCTGATTTTTTTTTTAAATTCTGTCTCTCAGAGTGGGAATGCACCTACAATGTAAATTTCAGACCCCTCCATGATTTCTAAGTGGGAGAACTTGCAAAATCGCAGGGTGTTCAAATACTTCTGTTCCTCCCTGTATATATATATATATATATATATATATATATATATATATATATATATATATTGTGAGAACTCGCTTCAGAGTGGTAGAGCTTTTTTAAAGCACACAGCAACTCGCTTCTTCTTAAGGGCCTTTTTGCCCAATTTTATTTAAAAGAAAGTTCAAATAACAAAAATGCTTCCCACACAGGGGTATCCACCATCAAGCAAATGATATTCAGCCTTCTGGCTTGTACACCGATTACCATCTGTCTCCTGCAGACTCTATCCAAAAATGGCTTTCCCGCACACAGCTAGCCAATCGCACACAGCTTGTCTGGCTTCCACCTCTACT